ACGGCACATGGAGGGGATTGTAATCATTATAATGAAACAAGTGCATTTATTTGGTTGAGTGAAAAATGATGTTCTGCCATTTAGACTATCATTCAATTACAATAAAAGCTTTATTTTAAAAAAAAAAAGGTCTGGATTGTTAACTATTTTGCAAATGATGAGACTGAGAATTCAAGAAGCTAAGTTATCTACCAAATAAAAATGGAGTTGATACGTGATAGGCGAGGATTTCTTCTTGACAGGCTCCATTTCTTCACAAGTGTTTGCAAAAGTAGGAAAGAAAGCAATGCATTATAATGCCAACAAACTTCTCATGTCTAAGGAAGGCATCAATAAGTTGAAATGGCAGCAGTTACATAGTAATGATTTATATTCATTAGAATTATTGTGGGTGTTTTAAACTATACTGTGTATTTCACATATTTCAGCCTCTTGCTCACATGGCTGCATTTGGTATATCCTTTTCTGTTTTACAGAATCCTTTAACTATAGAGATCGTGAAAAAACTCATTGCAGAAGGTAATGAAGAAGAACTACGAAAATGTTTTGGGACCCGAATGGAGTTTGGGACAGCTGGCCTTCGAGCTGCTATGGGAGCAGGAATTTCTCACATGAACGACTTGACCATCATTCAGACCACGCAGGTACCATGGTTATTTTATAATTCTTAGTTATCCTTACTGTATCCCTAGGCTCCTTTTGTGCTTGACAAATCTAATTTAGAAGCCCTGGTGGCTCTGTGTCCTAAACATTGGACTTCTAACCATAGGGTTGACAGTTCAAACCTAACAGCTGCTCCGTAGTAGAAAGATGAGGCTGTCTGCTCCCATCAAGATTTACAGTCTCAGGAGACCTAGGGAGCAGTTCTCTGTCCAGATCAACTCAGTTGCAAATAGTCACCACCATTCTTCCATAAAGGAAGTCTTACTCCACTGGTACAGAAAACAGTGCTTGCTTCAGAACGCATGCATACACTTATTCATCTAACAGAGATTTGTTGAATGTCTACTATGTGTCAGACTAAAAGAATGAAGTTGTCAAAGTCTTCATTTTGCTTGGATCAACCATCAACACTCATGGAAGCAGCAGTCAAGAAATCAAAGTATGTATTGCATTAGGCAAATCTGCTGCACAAGACCTCTTTAAAGAGTTGAAGAGTAAAGATATCAGTTTGAGGACTAAGGTGCGCCTGACCCAAGGTATTTTCAAAAACCTCATACGCATGTGAAAGCTGGACACTGAACAAGGAAGACTGTAGAAGAGTTGATACATTTGAGTTATGGTGTTGGGAGGAGAATATTAAAAGTGCCATGAGCTGCCAAAAGAACAAACCAATCTGTGTTTGAAGAAGTGCAGCCAGAGGGCTCCTTGGAGGCCAGAATAGCCAAACTTTGTCTCTCATACTTTAAACATACTGTAAGGAGGGACCAGTCGCTGGAGAATGATATCATGTTTGATAAAGCAGAGGGTCAGAGAAAAAGATAGATCTTAAATTGATACCATACTGACAATAGGCTCTGAAGAATCTTCCTACCAAAAATAGAGTCATATTTAAAAAAAAAAACTTTAAAATAGACAGTTTTTAGTTTAGAGTAAAATTATGCAGAAAGCAGAGAGAGTTCACCTTAACTCCATGGTCTTCCCAGCACATTGGAACATTTTGCATTCCTGTGGTTCATTTTTTATAATTGATGAACAGGTATCGATACATTAATATTATTAGCTAAATCCCATACATACGGACCCCACGATATGGACTGCACAGAAATCAAATTGACTACATCTGTGGGAAGAGATGATGGAACAGCTCCATATCATTAGCCAAAATGATGAAGTAAGACAGTGCAATAGAAAATTGCAAATGGCAGCTCGAGAAGACAAAGGTCAAGTGTTAGAGTGCAATGTGTAAGGACCTGGAGTTAGAAAACCAAAAGAGAAAAACGGGCTCAGTGTTTCTTAAACTGAAAAGAATGAAGAAAAAGGTCAAGCTTCAACTTAATAATATTGAAGGATTCTATGGGCAAAATTGGAGTCCTGGTATGGTGCTGGAGGATAAACACTGCACTGCAAAGGTCAGTTTGAATCACAGAATTGATGGTTCAAACCCACCAGCCGCTCTTCAGAAACCCTGTACAGGGTTGCTATAGAACCGACTTGATGGCACTTAACATGGCAAAATACTGAATGATGCAGAAAACACCAAAAGAAGATGGAAGAAAAATACAAGAGTAACTGCCAAAAAGAAATGGTTGATGTTCAAGAAATGGATGTGATCAAGAACCAAGGGTACTGAAGGAGAAGTTCAAGCTGTACTGAAGGCACGGGTAAAAAAATAAGACTCCGGGAACTGATAGAATACAAACTAAATTTTTCAGCTAACTGGAAGTGCTCAGTCATCATTGCCAAGAACGCTGGAGGACAGCTACCAGACCAGTGGATTGAAAAAGATACATATATGTGCTCATTCCTAAGAGGCGACTCAACGGAAAGCAGAAATCATTAATATCACATGAAAGTGAAATTTTGCTGAAGATAATGCATGGGTACATCAACATGGAATTTCCAGTAATTCAAGCTGGATTCAGAAGAGGATGTGAAGTGAGGGAAAACATTGCTGATGTCAGATGGATCTTGGTTAAAAGATATTTATCTGTGCTTTTATCAACTACACGGAAGCATTTGAATGTATGGGTCATTAATTGTGGTAGCATTGCGAAGAATGGGTATTCCAGAACACTTATGCTCATAAGGAACCTGCACACAGACCAAGAGGCAGTCATTTGACTAGAACGAAAGGTTCTGAATGGTTCAAAATCAGCAAAGGTTTGTGTTAGGGTTGTATCCTTTCACCATATTTATTCAGTCCGTAAGCTGAGCAGATAATCTGAGAATCTGTACTATATGAAGAAGAATGCAGGCTCATTAATAACCTGTGATATGTAATCACACACCCTTGCTTGTTAAATATGAAGAGGAGTTGAGGCCCTTGCTGATGAAGATTGAAGAAGGGAATGAGTGTGTATTTCAACTCTATGTAAGGAAAATGAAATTCCTCACAGATCAACCAATAAACATGATAGACAAAGGATTGAAGTTGTCAAGGATTTCATTTTACTTAAACGTACTATCAATGCCCCTGGAAGCAGCAGTTGGGAAATCAAATGAAGTATTACATTGGACAAATCTGCTACAAAAGACCTCTTAAAAGTGTTAGAGAGCAAAGATGTCACTCTGAGGACTAACGAGAGCCTGACCCAAGCCATTGTGCTTTCGGTTATCTCATAAACACATGTGAAAGCTGGACAATGACTAAGGAAGACCCAGGAATTATTAATACATTTGAGTTACGGTGTTGGCAAAGAATATTGAAAATATCATGCGCTATCAGAAGAACAAACACATCTGCCTTGGAAGAAGTCCAACCACAATGCTTCTTGAAAGTTAGGATGACAAGACTTTGTCCCAAGCACTGTGGACACGTCAGGAGGGACCAGTCCCTAGAGAAGCACATCATACTTGGTAAAGTAGAGAGAAGGTCATAGAAGAAAAGGGAGACCCCCAATGAGATGGACTGACACAGTGGAAGCAACACTTTACTCAAAACTACAAAGAATTGTGAGGAAGATACAGAACTGCGCAGTGTTTTGTTCCATTGTTTCTCAGGTTGCTATGAGTAGGAGCCAATTTAGCGGCACCTAACAAGAACAACAACCAAGTCTGTAATTCGTAGTAGGATTTTACTCTTTGGGTTGTAGAGGCCTTTGGCTTTTTGCAGTGCATATTTCAATTGAAAGAAATGAATTCCGATGTTGCGTAAAAGACACTCTGTGTGACCAAATTATCTTGGCAAAGCAAAATTTACTCCTGCACGAGGGTGCGTGTGCATAGCTGTACATACAGGAACAAGTCAGTGAGCATACCGAGTGGGCAGTCCACTTGGGTTTTTAATCCCTGATGCAAGTCTTATGTGTCTCACCCCATTGGCTAAGGCTTTGACTGCACAATCTTTTCCCTAATCCGCTTGGCTAGTTCAAATTCTAAGGTGTGCATTCTTATTTTAGGAAAGGGAAAATACAAGAGTATTTTCAAAGATTATAAAGTCTTTACTCACTTCAGGAAGTACTCAAAGAAAAAGAGAGAGATCATAAAGTCTTTACTGCAGGAAATAAAGAATAAAAGAAAGGTTACCTGAATATAATCAACAGGATTATAATAAATATATATATTTGTTTTCCACAATCTCCCCCAACCTTTTTTTTTTTTTTTTAAGGAAGTAAAAGGAAAAATGAAAAGTCACCTGAATACAATAAACAGGATTATATACATATATATTTTTTTTCTTTTTAGACTTCTTCATTCTTCAAATTTGCAAGGAGATGTTGACTTTGGTGTTCATGTTTCTAGGTGAAAAAGGTTATTTTGGTTTGGGGGTGGGGTTTGGATAGGGCTGTTTCTGTGAGTTTTAGGACTAATTCTCTTATACAGGGTATAATACAGTATCCCATTATTGTTAATACGCCAAATACAATAATTAGAGAGGTGAGAACTGAAGTCATAAGCCCTTTCCATTTCTCGAATCATTGTTCCATGATATTAGAAAGGGGTCTTCTGTGCCTGAATTTTCAGCGAGTTCATTAGCTAAGGTGGTCAGCCCTTGTAATGCTTCGGTAATGACACCATCAGGAGCTGCGTTATTGGGAATGAAAGTACAACGTTGGGACTTCGATCATAACACATGCTTCTTCTTTGTCTGCTAATATCATATCTAGGACTAACTTGCTTTCCCAGGCCATTTTGCTAGTAGGTCCTAATTGTTCTGCTGTTCCTTTTATAGCACCCCTGGTATAATTTACAAATCTTTGCTGATTATAATAGATGTAGTTAATCCAGTCCACATTTTTGTTAATGGATGACCACCAGAATAATACAGATTCAAACCCTGCAGCTATTTATTTGGTTTCTTGTTTTGAATTTGTTTGGCACCCCTCAGGGAACTCCTATACTGTCTATGTAAACATGGGAATTAAAAGAGCCATGGGGAGTAACTACACTTCTCTTGGCTTTATGCCTGTTTCCTGTAGTTGTTGGTTGATAGAATGCCAGAGTGAAAGGGATGGCCAATTGCACCAAATCACAGGTACCACTCCAATTTGCTGGTAAAGCCCCGAATAATAGTTTCCCATAACACCACCAGACATCTGCTCGCGGAATAGCTAGGGCTGACTGATTTGGGAGCTCTTTAAAAAGTTTGTGTTCCTGTCAGGTTTCTGATGAACATCAAATTCCTCCCATGTCTGGAGAGACAAAGTGAAATTAACATTTGAGGCTGGCAGCCTAATGGTCCTCGGGGGTTTACCCGTAAGACCCCTGACATTAGGTAACAAATGTGACAACAAGTTACAGGAGTTATTGCCCCAGGCTGTAGGGTCCTGGAAGAGAGAAACCATACAGGGCATGCCCTGCAAGTCTGAGGACCATCCAAGTAGAAAGGGGACCACTTGGGCTTCCAGTCTTCCTGTTGCAGAGGCGTAACAATTGCTTGTATTTAGAGTGCGAACAGAATATTTAATCCATTCTAACCAAGCATTCGCATCCCCATATCCTGTTTCTATAGCTATAGTTTGTCTCAGGTCTTTAGCTTACG